GAAGTCATCAGACCTTTGATATATTAAAGATATACCCCTAAAAAACACCAGCCCCCTCTATATTTGCCTATAAGTATGCTCGAATGTTCATGGAGGAAAGTTTTCCCTGGCAAAAGCAGGGTCCCTTGAACCTAGGACCATGCAACCACCAAATGGCAAGACCGTAACAGAAGTGTCTGGGAGGGAATGTGGACAGACAGGGTGTCCAATAGACGCAAAGCTGAATCACAGACTTATTTCAGCAAGACCAAAGAGAAAGCTACTGGAAACAAAAAGCTTTCATTAACTTGTTACATGGCTGGATTTAAGGGCAAAATTTGCAAACAGAGGTTGGAAACAGACTAATACCCGTTATGCATTAGCAGAGTAGCAAGAGGGTTCATTTTAAGTTCCAGACATTGGGATTTAAGTCAGAAAGTATTCATGGAGAGGAGAAAGAGCTATGGCACCTTCCCTGTTGCCTTCCAGCAGTTCTTTGACAGAATGTCTTTATCCTCCTGGAAAGGACTAGCAACACAATTCCTTTCCATCCCAAATATTTGTTGGAATGATTTCCCATTTCAGAAACCAAAGGAAAAGGAACAATATTATTTATTTCTAATTAATTAATATGAACTTTGATGTTAGACTCCCCTTCAAGCAACACCTTTTCTAACAAGGGCTAAGCTAAGGTTAGATAAGAAGACATGCTTTCTAATCGATATATTTTCCAGCATACGTGTTCTTTGGCAATGATTTCCAGTTGCCTCTTTTGAGTGTGTGTGTCTCTGCGCGGATACTCGTGTATGTGTAAGCGTTCCTGTTTCAGAAAACAGAGTTGTTGGACATGGATAGGAATGTGTCTGGCATCTTTAAAAGAAAGACTCAGAAAGAGATCAGGATTTGAGTGAGTTTTGCAAGATATCCAGCTCTGACTATTTTGCGGTTAACTTTCCATTCCAAAATTGCTCATGGTGAGCTGTCCAGACCATGTCTCTTACCAAAGAATTTTTGGAATCGTGAGAAAACAATGAGTTAGCCGTTAGGAAAGATTAACCTCCCCATCTTAATCCTTCCAACTATCGCTTTACATAAAAAGAACATTCATGTCTAAATCACTGCTAAAGACTCTTGGATAAATTTCTCTCTAGCCTAATTCCACTGAAACTGTCACTGCTACATAAACTATATGGTGATTTAATGTGAGCTGGCTACAGTTATTATTGCAATAGTGTTAGAATTGCCATCTAATATTGGAGTCCTGTCAATGCTACTACACGCTGTATTTACATAGAGAAAACTTACAAGCTAAACAGACAGGACTGCAGAGAAAGGAAATATTTTTATAGTTAGGCAATGAAGACTCAAACTAAGAAGATGATTTGCCCACAAATGAATAAAGAATTTGGGAATGAACATGAAATAAACCCAGGTCTGCTAAATCCCACACCATCCCACACTATTGCTTTCCAAAGCACATTAGTGTTTAATTCACTGTGGAACGGGTAAGTTGTCTGTTTGAATTTCACCGTTGCATCCACAACCAGAACAAAATGTAACAATTCAGAATAACTGAATAAATAATTTCTCAGAGTAAGTCTGCTGGCAATCCCTTGTATCAATAGCATTTTAGGCCTTGGAGCAAAAAGGTGCTTCGTGCCTCTCTGTTACTCAAGCATTTTAATCCCTGCTGCTTTCCTAAACAGATCCTAGGCTCCTCAAAGTATTTGTAGTTCTCAGGATTCATGTTTTAAAAGTCAGAAACAAAAGCTTCTATCAAGTTGGTTGGTGGGTTGGGGTTTTTTTAACATTAGAAAGCTATCCCTGTTTGTTCAGGATCCGACCTGGTAAATACACATCCAATCATTATCGGTGCCAAGCTACCTGACTGGTGACATGAAGTTGGCAATGATGACCTTGACATCTTCTATCCATATGGTTACACAAAAAACCTGTGCACTTTAACCCGTGACTGTACAAACTGTAGAGACAGCAGCTGAATCCTCATGCAAGGGAGCAATTTGGTGGCTCCAGATGTGGTGGCGAGACAGCAGCCAGCTGTGCTAGTGTATCAGCTACATATACCCACCCTGTGAAATTTGCCTGTTGATCATCAGAATGCAGCTTTCAATCAGCACATTGTGAATGGATAAAAATTGGCAAAAAAAAGTCCATCTGGCTCAGGTTTGGATTCTAGGCTCTGTTGTCAGCGCTTTGGGAGCCCAATAACACAAGGGACTAACACAGATTGCATTGAAAACATCATGGAAATGTGGATGTGTGTGATGGTCTGGATAGGGTAGTACAGAGAACATGCATGCTGTATGCCAGCAGCTCCGCAAAGGGAGACTTTCGCTGTGGAAGCTCAACAGCTGTAACTAGTCTGGTTGCAGGTTTGCCTCTGGCACCAAGTGCTGCAGTTCTTTAGCTAGCACCAGTGGTCAGCACTACACTTGACATGAAAAACAAGCTCACAGTAGGGGGACTGACAGCTTGTGAGTGTTATGGACAGGGGTAAAGGGAGACATTTTTGGCATTCTAGAGCCTCTCCATTATAGCAGTGCACCAAATGAAATCCTGCATCAAGAAAGAAAGAAAAGAAAAAAACATCTTGTTCTGAAAAGCTGCTTTTCTAGAAGGATAACAAGCCTGTTAAAAGCACCTTCGTTCTGCTCCTTTTGCCACATTTCTCCCCTAAAAGAAATGCCTGACTCTTTCCCCTCTCCTTGCATGGGGGTGGCTACCAGGGTCGGATGCCTTGTTGCACAGGTGGAGATTAAGTCCCTTACTCTGCACCAAGTCTATCTGATTGTGTAATGTGTCCAGTGCCTCATCTGCATCACACAGCAGTGCAATGCAGAATGACCTTTCAGGCACTTTGGAAGAGGTCATAAAACATCTGTACTCTTCAGTTTTAAGTGCAAGATTTGCAGTTTTGAGGGTTATCTTAGTAGGCTATTATAGAATCATAGAATCATGGAATAGTTAGGGTTGGAAAGGACCTTAAGATCATCCAGTTCCAACCCCCCTGCCATGCGCAGGGACACCTCACACTAAACCATGTCACCCGAGGCCTTGTTCGACCTGGTCTTGAACACTGCCAGGGATGGAGCATTCACAGCTTCCCTGGGCAACCCATTCCAGTGCCTCATCACCCTCACAGTAAAGAATTTCCTCCTTATATCCAATCTAAACTTCCCCTGTTTAAGTTTTAACCCGTTACCCCTTGTCCTATCACTACAGTCCCTAACGAAGAGTCCCTCTCCAGCATCCTTAGAGGCCCCCTTCAGATACTGGAAGGCTGCTATGAGGTCTCCATGCAGCCTTCTCTTCTCCAGGCTGAACAGCCCCGACTTTCTCAGCCTGTCTTCATACAGGAGGTGCTTCAGTCCCCGATCATCCTTGTGGCCTCCTCTGGACTTGTTCCAACAGTTCCATGTCCTTTTTATGTTGAGGACACCAGAACTGCACACAATGCTCCAGGTGAGGTCTCACGAGAGCAGAGTAGAGGGGCAGGATCACCTCCTTCGACCTGCTGGTCACACTCCTTTTGATGCAGCCCAGGATATGGTTGGCTTTCTGGGCTGCAAGTGCACACTGCAGCCGGCTCATGTTCATTTTCTCATCAACCAACACCCCCAAGTCCTTCTCTGCAGGGCTGCTCTGAATCTTTTCTCTGCCCAGCCTGCAGCTGTGCCTGGGATTGCTCTGACCCAGGTGTAGGACCTTGCACTTGGCATGGTTAAACTTCATGAGGTTGGCATCAGCCCACCTCACAAGCGTGTCGAGGTCCCTCTGGATGGCATTCCTTCCCTCCAGGGTATCAACCGAACCACACAGCTTGGTGTCATCGGCAAACTTGCTGAGGGCGCACTCAATCCCACTGTCCATGTCACTGACAAAGATGTTGAACAAGACCGGTCCCAACACCGATCCCTGAGGGACACCACTCGTTACTGGTCTCCAGCTGGACATTGAGCCATTGACCACTCAATTCTTGTGTTCTAAGATGTACTTGTGTTCTAAGATGTTGAACACTAATGAGGGCAGTTAATGGGTATTGAAAGGGTTGAAAACTGGCTGAACAACTGGAGTGGTCATTAGTGACACAAAGTCTAGATGAAGGGCAGAAAGTAGGGGTCAGGTACAGAAATAGTACCTTAGGGGCCAAAACTTTGTCCACTCCCGTTTAACTTAATGATCTGGTTGACAGGGCAACGAATGCCCTTAGCACTTTGCCAGATGATTGTGTGCTGCCATACAGAGGGACCTCAACAGGCTGGAGAAATGGTCCAGAAGGAACCTCATGAAGGTCAACAAGAAGTGCAAAATCCTGCCCTTGGAAAGGAACAACCCCAGGTGTCCATGCTTGAGCAGGGGAGTTGGATAAGATGATTTACTGAGATCCTTTCCAACCTCAACCAATTTGTGATTTTGTGACAGGTCACTTGAAAACTCTTAAACATTTTTACAGCTGCCAAAACATGCTGTGTTGGTGCCTTGGTCCTGGTGTAAGTGTCTGGAGTCTCTTTATCTTTGAGAATATTTAAGGAAATGTAAAGCACAGCAGGGCTTACTCCTTTTTCTGATGCAAATAAATAGCATTTCATGCACAACACTGCTCCCCATCTTCTCAAACTGCTGAGGGCTGCTTAAGCAATGCCCTTCCTAGGTGCAGAAGTAGTTTCTGTGGTATAAAGGGTACTGTCAGCATGGTTTTGCCTTCCCAGGAGCTAAAGGTGAAACCACCACCTTTGTCTTCTCAGGATGCGCTGTGTCTCCCGTTTCCCTTTGCTGTAGGTGTACCTGCTTTGGGTTGCTATACTCACTGCAGAATGTCTCTAGCTGCAGAAATATCTGTTGTGACAGCAGGACGAAGGACGTGTCAGAAAGCACAGGAGATAAATGGCACAGCATCCATGCTAATGTTCTCACTGATAATGTAGCCAGAGAGCTAAGACCCATTTACTTCACTGCTGAATAAAACAAATCAAAGAAGGCATCTTCTGTGTCAACGCAAATTAACCAGATGGGAGTTTATTTTGCTTTGTTGCTAGGTGTTTTTTACAGGAATTGAGAAAATTGATTAATATCTTGATGTCTTTGTTGGATTTCTTATTGTGTTTTGGTGCAGTGAGCAGCACTGCCTGGCCGAATGATTTCTGAGATGGTTATTGTCTGTTGGAAAAAAAGCAAGAAAAGCAAAAGAAAAAGTGTGCTTAATGTTTTGGAGCTATTACCACCATCTGTGCTTCAATTACACCTTCAGGTCCCTTGGAGTGTAATGCTGGGAACCATCCTCACCCCCCAAAAGGCAAAGGGACATTAAATTGCTCCAGGAGAATGTCACTGCCAAAAAGAGAGGTGACCTCTTTTTACAAAACCGTAAATGGATCTGGTCTTTGCTCAAAGCATTAGCACCACTATTACACTTAAGGCTGAGGAGCTGTTAAATATTATAGACTTCATATATCTAGATACAGATCTATATGCACAAGCAGGTTTCAAATATAGACTGACCTACATTCGCAAACTGGAATGACTACCATTTCATCTACTGGCAGTGTTTGGGTGGAAGTACTATCATCCACCACAAGATAGATGACCTCAAGTCCACAAGAGCTGCATGACACGTCCCTTCAAAGCCCTGGCAAGGCTAATGCTCATGCCTAGCAGAGGGCATAAATGATTTTCCTGAAAGCACTAAGGCTCCTTATCCTCCCAAAGCCAGCTCCAAAAGCCAGGAGCATTAGTTAGCAGAGATAACCAAGTGTATAAAATTTCCTTATGTAGTTGAATGGTTGATTTATTTTTATTGCTCAGAATGAACTACACATCCAGAGGAGATTAATCAGTTGTCTAAGTGAGTCCTCTGGGCATAGCCTGGGCTACTGATTCCCTCCAGCAGTTCCGCATCAAACCAACAACAATAGGCAAGGAAGTGTCAGTTATCTAACGGGCTGAAAACACTTTCCATTGTTAAGTAAAGGATTTCCTTATGATTTCCCATGCCAAATAATAAATTGTAAGTTATACAGTGTGTGCCATGACAATCCAGGACTACTGTGAAGAAGATTTATATTAAAACTGAATGACATCTTTACCATCTCCTGTTGTAGCTGGCTCAGGACTATTCCTGTTAGCTGTTAGGGTTTGGCTCTATTCTTTTTCCTTCTCTTTCTTCTTCCATTCTCAACTGGAAAAGGTGGAAAGGGAAAGGGGAATGCAGCATTTTGCATCTGGATCTGACAGCTTCCATGAGGGACAGCTCTATGGTGAGGAAGGCTCGTCCTCCAGCTGACAGAGTTGTGGCACAGCCTGGTGGGATCAAGCCATTTTTTCCATTCTGCAGGAAGCAGAAACTTCTTCACTGTTTCATGAATACTGTATATGTTATTGTGAAGGGTTTAAATATTGAGGGTTTTTTCTCCCTTTTTTTCCTCAGCTGGCTAAAAATTGCAAATGCTCAGGAAAAGAAAGAGGATCGTAAGGGAACCCAATTCCCTTGGGCAAGCTGTTGTACACATGTACAGGAAATTGAATGTAGAAATTATTGCATGCAAGGCTGTTAAAGAAGTGACGGGGTTATAAAACAGATCTTTCAACTGCTACCCGTTATGGACATTCCAGTTGTAAAGGGTCACATTTTAATACAAATCTGCTGTCCCAAATTACATTTGTCTTTTTCCATAAACTAGAAGCTGACAAAGATTTACGGGAAGGTAATTTTCCTCCTTGTTATTTTAAGTCATTTATCTCCTCTCTGAATTTCCAAAGAAGAAGAAGAAAAACCTACTGGTTTGGTAGAATTTATTAGGTTGCAATGGTATAACGGCTTCTGTTCTTGGGCTGCTGAAATGTCCATGAAAACTGAGGGTCTTTTTAAACATAACCTAGCCTTCATGAAATGGGTAGAGTGGTGCTGCAGAAATAGAACACAAAATCTGATTATGCCTGATGTGACTAATTTATGACATAAATTCTGCATCCCTGATCTGATATTCCACCATTTGCCATGTAAGATCATAGCGCACACTGAAAGTGAGATGGCTTGTTTCTAAATAACAGTGACAACGAAGCAGTTTCATATTCAGATCTTCCGTTACTACCAGGAATATTGATTATGCTTCCCTTTCTCTGCCTCTGCTTTTCTTCCTCTTTTCAAGGCAACAGACAAAAAGATGTCTCAAGGCCTTCTGCAGAATTAGATTTGAGATTGCAATGTAAATAGGTAGATGTGGTACCAGTTAATTTAATTAGTTTTGAAATAAGTAAAAGAAAAACAAGCTAACAGCCCCATCAATGAAACCATATTCCAGAAGCATGCTAGTTTGTCCTAACTTTTTTTTTTTTCCTGAAATTCATCTGAATTTTGCTATCGGCAAATCAAAAGCTGATTTTCCAACCTTAACACCCATTCTAATCTAAATCCTTTTTTCAATTGAAGCCAGACACAAAATGTATTTTTAAACACTGCTGCTCAATTTATACCATGGCATTAAACATTTCATTTCACTGTTCTGTTTCTATTCATTATTCCTTCAAACTCTGTAAATGCACAGGACAAGTCCCCCGAGTTTTGCTTTTAAGTCAGCAAATTCAATTTTGGTGACTCTATGCAAACTTTGAAGCTCCATTGAGGCCAGTGGCTAGGAACTGCAGCTCATACTTTGTAGAGGCTTAGTCTTGATTTTGCAAAGTGCTTTTGTGTAATCAGTCAATTAGAGCTGTGACCAGTGATCCATATCAGCAATTGATAGCGAACTGCAGGATTGGTACGCTTGGAATCCAGGTTTCAGTCTTTCTGGTTAGGTTGCAATTCCTGAACATTAGCAATGCTAAAGGTGTCATGCTATTTCTTCAACTTCTTGACTACAAACACCTGTAGTGAACTCTGTATTAATTACAGAAATTCAGCATACTGTTTCTTTTAATATTTCCACTTACACTTGCACTATTAGGAAATCCTTCCCTGATGGTTTTCTGTAACATCATCTGGAAGTGGAAATAAATGCACTGACACAATTACAGTCAGCTAACAGCAACCGAATCTTGCCAATACAGCTCAAGAGTGTATTTGTTTAAACTCTGAAATAGTGCAGTTGGATTGTTTTATCTCTTTGTACAAGTATAACTTTTAAAAGAATATTAAGGCACAGTAAATTTTGTGTTAGTGGGCACTTAAGCCACATTTAACAAGGCACTTTAGTAGTTGCAGCTCTATAAGAAAGAATAATGAAAAAAAAACAGAAGTTAACATTATTTTATAATTTCCCCTTTCAATGACCCCTTTATATCGTGTTTGCCAAGATCTTTGTTGGTATAAAATAATCACATGATTACCAACAATAGATGTTGAATGCAAATATATTCTCCAGCACTTACAATTACACTAATAGCTTTATTTGCAATCAGTAGTGACTGCCATTGCCTTTAAATACTCAAATGTGCTGAAAGTCAATTGAAGTCAGTTTGAATTAAATCTTGCTAATTAATCTCTGAATGTAGTTTTAAGTACTTTTGAGTTTAATAATGGAGAAACCATCCCAACCTGAGCGGCTGTGCGCATGCAATGGGGAGACATGCACAGAGCTGAAGGAATTTCCAACTTGGATGCATCTCTGAGGGTAAAATAGAGCAGGAAGGAAAGCAATGTGGGTATAAACCAGTCAGCAGTATTTGCTCCATAAAATGTCTGTGTTTAGATACATTTGTGCATGGACAGTGGGTCCAAGGCACAAGGATGCTCATGAGGATGCCTGATTGCTACCAGCAGAGACCCAAGGAGGGAGGTCACATGGGGTAGATATCTAACTAGCTTGTCCAGGCATGGGGACACAAATCACTCATGGAAGTGGCTGTCCAGAAGGAAAATGGCACCAGAAGGAGCAATGGGGGGGATGTACCTGAAACTCAGCTGTCTGCAGAAACCAAGCAGATGGGTGAGTGCAGTAGGAGCTGCTTTGTGGTTGGAGAACGGAAATCTTTGGCTTCTGCCACCAGGATTGTTTCTGCCCCTTCAGCTGACTACATCAACTGCTCTCCAAGAAGGAAACGGATCTCTCCTTGAGAACCAGATCCTATCACCTCATCCACATACATGGCTCCCCACTCTGCTCCCAGGCAATAAATGTGAGAGTTGACTTTCCAGCATCCACCTTACAATGAGGGTGTCTCTGTGGAGGATGTACCCAGGTCTTCAGAGCCCTCCTCCTCTTCCCCACAAGCACCATGTGGTGTTGAACAAGTTCTGTGTCACCTTATGTGCCACAGGTCTGCTCTGCCCCTCTGATAACTAGTATCACATCAGCCCATCTTAGGGCCTTTGCGCCACATCTGGGGCACTTCGGGCACTTTGGGATTTTAAGGGAAAAAAAATTTAAGCACGTGAACCCAAAATGAATCTGGGTTAAGTGACTGGGCTCCCTGCATGGGGAGAATGGCATTCAACACACAGACAAACCAAAATATTTTATCTGGGTGTGCAGCTGCAGGAGGCAGGTGGCTTCAAGAGTCAAATGGGATGGGGTTCACCACTGTTTAGTCAAAACCTGGAAAGAAAGAGAGTCTTACTCTTTTAAAACATGGCTGAGAAGAGGTGGGTGCTGGTTTTCCATTACCCTCTCTCTTACAAAAATAGGACAGAAATCAATCTGGCAGTGAGGACCACAAGTCTGCAGAAGAAGGGCTTTTGCCCATAGGATCTTTTTGATGTTGTCTGCTTGCTTATCCTAAGCAACTTGATTTGACTTCTTTATTAAGGGTGTGGGCATGCGAGGACACCTTTTCTGGGCTCACATCCATCATCTCCTGCTCTTCTGGGACATGATGGATCTCAAGAAGGATTTGAACCCTGTGGCTCAGTTCTGAGTAAGGGACTTGACCAGATGGGGCTTAAACAGAAAAATGGCACCCTCCTGTGGCAGTGATTTAGAAAAGAGAAAATAGCTGTGACTATTAAGGGCAGGGTCTAATCCTGCCAGCATGCGTTACCCATGTGCACACCCACCAAAGGAGATTTCACAAGGGATGAAGGTGCCCCTCTGCTTAGGTGAAAAAATAGCTATTTGAGTGCTGGGGCGATGCAGGCAGTGCACCAAAGCAGGCAAAGACCCTCCAAGGTCAGGCAAGGAGGGCTGCATTGTGTTTGGAGGCAACCGTTCAGCTGCACGGAGCCA